TATTTAAAACCTGACTAGATTATTGTGTAGATAAGTGAAGCAAAAGAAAATAAATGAACAAATTTTTATTTGCACGCGTACATGTCTAGTGATGCACCAAATTCCAAAGTCTCACCAGTTAAGTTTGTGTACCCTATTCAATCATTGCATGCTTCCCAGTAGTTCAGTGAAGAAAGACAGCCAACCTCTGAGGACTATCCAGCCCACAGAGGACCTGAGTCACTCTGCAGAAGTGCCTGTCTCTCATGATGGATTACAGATGGATCCCAGCAAAATCAGGCTTCCAAATTGGTGCCTTGAATACATACAGTTCAGATGTGGCTTCAGAACTTCTTGTCAGAGATTTTACCTTTGTGACTTTGCTCTTGGACCTATAGGTATGCAAACATGCAGTAGAAAAACATTTTTAGAATGCACTTAGAATGAAGTTAAGAGTCTAAGGGTAAAAGCAGGTGATCAGAGCCAAATGATTGTGGTTTAAATTACCATCTTTCAACTGAGATGTTTTAATTCCTAGCCTATTGCAACTTTGCAAGTGGCTAAAATTCTACAAGTGTTTTCCCTGGAAGACTTGACTCACTCTTCTGCGGTTTAGAGACCTGATGGTGATTTTCCAGGATAAAATGGACCCATGTCTATTTTATATATATTGTGTGTAGCATTTCAAATGCAAGTTTGCTACCATTTTCTGTCCCTACTGATATATCTTCAACGGGTGCATCTCAGACTCTTTTCAGCTAAAGGCTTAGTCACACTATCTTTCCACAGTGACATGAGTATACACACAGGCTCTTTTTGTTGTTTCCAACTGGGGAGGCCTTAGCCTATAGCATCCTTTCCTTGTCCCTGGTTGTGTGACCCTGTCCTTTGTATTTCTAGTTTCAATTGCTTTTATTACTTCAGTCCTTCAGACTGTCAATCCAGTGCATTCTGTATGATTTTCCATCTTCACCTGTCTACTGAGGACTTACGGGTTTGTGTCATTGGTAAATGTTGTTAGCAGATTCTGAATTTTTGTATCAATATCAGTAAAACACATTTGGTTCCAGAAACATCCTTTAAAACGTCGCCAGTAGTTTTCTTCTATCCCAGTAATATCCCCTTTGTCCTAACGTTGTTTTCTTCCCTTTCTTCCCTGTGATTCTTTTACATTTCTAGAGTACCTTATCCAGAATAATTTTTTTTTTTGCTAAGTGGCATTGTATCCAATATATATGATCGTATCAGCTAGATTTCCTGTGTTCCTTTCTTAAAACATCAGTTATCTTATAAAGAGAGATGCCAGGTTAATTTGGCATAATTGTAGCCTATTTTGCAATAAAGCTGTTATTTATTATATTCAGTTTTTCATTAACTCTGTGTCTCTAGCTATGCAGTGCTTCATAATTTGTTTCAAATCCTTGCACAGCTCATGAAGTCAGAGCCACTTGGTTTTATGTTGCCTGGATCACGTACATCCCTTTTTCCTAAAAGAAAAAAAAGTTAGGTTTTTTATTTTCCAGACATTTGATTGCCAGCCTGATAGATTCATTAAAAGTCTTTGTTATTAAACTGGCCTTTCATGTGCAAGTATTGTAAGTACTCTTGAGTGGAGATTATGGGGTCTCGCCCTCCTGGTCTAGACACTTCCTTAAAAACAGTTTTATGTCTTTGTTTTGTTTTCATCTCAGATGAGTAATTTTCATTTCCACAGTCTGTATCATTAGCCACACTGCATTTGCTACTGTAGTCAACATCCCCATATTAATTTTGTTTTGGACTGTCTGTAAATTATCTTTAATCTTAACTGCTTTTTGCTGCTTGCTGAAGCCACTCTTTTTCCTGTTTTCTTTTTATTTGGATGATGAAAGTATGTTTTAGTACTTGCAATTTTGCAAGATCTGACCCTGCCTAACATTTTCTGTTCTCACTTTCTCCATATATTTTCTGACATCTGACAGTTTTCCCTGCGTATTAGTTTCATTTTCCACCTTACAAGCTTTCTGCATACTGCAGATATACTCTCTGAGGTGACTGCTCATCTAGTTAGAAATGGAGCCCTTTGTTATAAAAGGTTTTTTCCACATGTTTGAAGCTGCAAGTTTTTCACAGCCCACAGCCACAGTGTTTTTCTTAAAGGAATTCTAGCACTTCCTTGAGTCTTCATTATTTCCCTTATTTCCTGATTTTTTAAAGTGAAATTCTGATTTATTTATGTTTAGCATTTATTCACGTTACAGCCATTTTTTAAAAAACGGAATGAATGTGTCATCACTTAGTCTGAGATACAGCTTTCTTGACCAACTATTTAATAAGGTCTTGTAGTTCACTTTTCTTGTGTTACGTGTCACATCCTCAGATACCTGGGTCTACCCCTTATTAGTAGAATTTATTTTCTGAGAAGTTACAATATCACCTCGCAGCTTTCATAGTGCTATTTACTCCTTATTTACTATTTCATAATATTATTTGCTTTCTAAATAATACAAAAATTTATATACAATAGAAGGGATCCCACACAAATGTTTCTGAAAGGAATCTGAAACCAATTAGAAACCTTTTGTACCCTCTCTAATTTTCTTACAGCTTATCACATATTTGGTTTATAGTTCATCACATCACTATTTTTGCTATGAGGAAGACCATAAGATTGGTACATGTGGATGGGGGAAATAAGCGAGAAGAGGATTACTATGTGAAACTGACTTGCAGATCTACTGCATTATCTATGTGACAGGGAAGATACAGTGAGTTATATAAGATATTGCAGGCAGTTTTATGGCCTTCTACACTTCAATATAGTCCTCTCACCTGAATTTTTGAGCAGAATATTGCCATTGCTTGACAATTAAAAAAAAATCCGATTGGCAAAATTAGTATATTTCAAGGTGAAAATCATTAATACGATCTTACAAATTCATATTAGTTAAATTCCTTTTAGTTGCTTTCAGTTGCGTGCAAGAGATCTTCCATTATTTCTCTCAGTTTAATTTCATTAATTTCAGGTTTTTGTATTTTCTTGTTAAATAAAGCCAAGAAAATTCTCTGTATGGCTACTCTCATGGAAGTCTTTTATTCATTTTCTTTAAGTAGGCTGTATGAATTTTAAGTGAAATTACATTTTTTCCTTTATGCACCATATGTTAGATTAGTGCATCTCTAACTGAGAGAGGTTAGTGCTGCTCGTCCATCAGTACTAACTAGCAGTGGCTTCTGCCTTACTCTGTCACTTAGACATGGGAACAGGAAAATCAGTCCTCCTTTTATTAGAGCATCTTTTCTTCACCAGCAGACATCAAACTGTTAAGTCACAAGACTGCATAACATGGAAAATGCAAAGTCATTGTGATAAGTAATCCTTGAAAGGAAAGAGAATATAGGGGATGGTTATGGTTTGTCTTCAGTTTTTTTAAGCTACCCTAGGACTTATCACCATTTTCTGGGATGGCTTATGCTGTCGCCTGTCAATGAAGCAGCATAATCACAAGAGTAGGTTTTTATTATATATTATATATCCTACTTTTTTTTTTCCTTGTTGTTTACCAAGAGAGAGTTATTCAGCAATTTTTAAGGTGGCAACTCCTGTTTTAAAACAAGAACTACCATGATTCTCTCATATGTTTTTGAACAATGTTTTTTTCAGCTATGAACTGTATCTTGTCTTAAGACAATCTTGGAAGGCAAACAAAATTATATTGAGCAACAAAAGATACTCCTCTTTCTCTTTAAAATTTTCTATTTACAATAGTTATTTAAGTTCCTTCTTATTGGCAGCAGACTGGGCTTGTATTTTCAGGCAATTGACTTTAACTGCAGGCAACAGATGCATTTAAAATAGACTGCAATGAGATTCTATTTTTGAGATGTAGTGATTGGAAGGGAATCTTCTTCTGTCAATCAGATACACATTAAAATGGTATTTATTTTAAAACTGAATATTCTAGTTTAAAAGATTTGCAATTGTTTTCACATTTACTACCTAAAATTGTAAAGGAATGCTAAAGAATTAAGTGATAGAAATTTGCACCTGGAATTCAGTGTGGAACACAATACTTAATATGCAACATAAATAGTGTAAATTGTCAATTCATCTGCATATTTGGGTATTTTTAAAGAAAACTAAAGAATTCTTAAAAACTTAAACTTTCCTTTTATAATTCTTCATTCTATTATTAGATATATTACAAATTTTAAGTGATGTATTATTCAACTGATTGAAGGCTAGCATGTCATGTCCTAATAGATTGAGCAGCTGCATTGGTTCTTTAAGATACTTCACACTTAACAAATAATCGTAAGTAAATACAGTCCTATGAGTATCAAAATATACTACATTGCCAATATTGTGTCAATATTTAAAGACAAAATTCAGTTTTGCAGCAGCAGCCCGGTAGAGTCTAAGTGGGTGGGAGAGGGCTGGAAGAACCAATAGCCAGATGAAGCTTCAGGAAGAAGGATTTGCACTTTCAGTAGAGGTAGGAGCTGTAGCTGCTGCTGCATGAGGGAGCTACTGCTTGCTGCCGCAGCTGGCCCTCTCCACGCTCCTTTTCAGGGTTTGTACCTTAACAGTTAATCCTGTGTCCTCAGGCTGCAGTTTCTACCTGTTCTTTGCCTACAGCTGGCCAAGGAGGTGAATGGGATCTCTGCACTTGGAGTTTTGTTGTGTCAATAATAGTTAACAGTGGACAAATATGGGAATGAGAGAGAGATGAAAGTAGTAAGAAAGCCCATTGTTCATACAGGATGTTTTAGTTCTGTATTCCTTCTTAAAATAAGGATGCATATGTAGACCTATCAAAATTACATACATTAGATTTCAAAGTCATGGTGATTTCAGGTGTCTCCTCATATTTAAGATCATATTTATTCATTTCTATTTTAAATTGTATATGAACTACGTTAAGTGAATCTGTTAATCATGTTCACTTAAAACTATAAATGATGGAATCTATTTTAAAAGCTAGATTAGAAAATATCACTTTCTGAATGAAAATTTTTTTTCTTTCCTTCCATTGCTAGGCCATGGGAAGTGTGACTGTGGGAAGTGCAAATGTGATGAAGGCTGGTATGGTGAAGCTTGTCAGTATCCGACTACTTGCAATCTTACACGGAAAAAAAGCAATGAAATGTGCAAGAATTCTCAAGATATCATCTGTTCTGGTGCAGGTAAGATATGTTTTGTTGCTTTTAATGGTTTGATGTTCTCCCTGTGTTATCTTGAGAATCACTGTAATTTCTTTTCTAATTAGGAATTTTGTAAAGTGTATTTCAAGAGACTGAGAAATAACTGTATATATACTAAAATTAAGCATTTTAGGTCCTATAGGCCTATTCCTGTGCATATGATGTGCACTGATTCAGAATGCCTACTTTAGTACTCTAGTTTATCCACAGCTATTTTACGTTGATGACACTGCAGCTGTGTCATGTATTTTGCCCATCAAAAGGTTATGGTAATGGCTTTAACAGAGAAAGTGATGTCATTTTTTTGTGTTTGTGTTTAAAGCATGCAGAAATGGCATTTGCAAATATTTTCCCAGGACATTAATAAGCTGTACAATTTTTTGAGACACTTTTGAGCTGTAACAATGATTATTAAAATCAGTTGTGGATGATCTGCTGAATCATTTTAATGGGGTACTTCCATCTTCACTTTTCTGATTTGATAACTCTCTTTTCTCTAATTCTTTAATTTTATAACTCATCCTAACTTGAATAGGAAGTCCTTTCCTTAAAAAAATCAGAGGAAAAAGAAACAGCCTTTTAGAAGACTTCACTGTAGAATGGTAAAATTTTGAAGGGCATTTGCTATCAGTCAAGGTTTAAGACCAGAAACTACCTTCCAGTTTTTCCATTACATTGATCTCCGAGTGACAGAATGTTTCAGGAACCCCACTTCTGCTCACTATTCCTTGCCTTTAATTTCTGTCTGGGTCCATACATTTTCATACAACTGATTTCTCACAAGGTAGTTGCTGACATAAGCAAAGAACCCAAAGGATTTGTGGGACTTGCTACAGAGAAGCTAGGCTCTCACAACAAGATGTGAAACCAATGTAATATATAAGCATACAGCATACTGAATAAATGATAAATTTCATTTATGACAATAATATAGATTATATGAAAATCATGATTGTTTGGCTAACAAATGAAAAACACCTGAACGAGAAACTGACTCTCAAAAATAAGCATAGTTCATTGTGATCAGTCGAAGTACTTAAAAAAGAATGTTAAGACCCTTTTTTCTCTTTCTTTCCTTGGCTAGAAGTGGCTCCAGTCTGTTTATCGCTGAGTCTTCACAGGAAAACCAACGTAGCTGAACAACCACTAAAAGTGGCTAAGAGTACAGTGTTTGTGAGATCAGGAGAAGAAGAAGAAGTGCTTTTGGTTTTGCTGGTATTAAACAGGACAGTAATTCCAATGAGACTGGTTAGGGAGTTTGGGGTAACTTTGATGGGCTGTAGCCATACATATTTTGTCTTGATGGGATTGCCTTTCGATCTATGGCCAACATTGCCTTTGGGGTCTGAGCTCTGTTTTTTAATTGCCAATAAAAGATGGGAAGGGATGACAGGAGTTGTTGCAAAAACAGTCGTCTGCTGTCACACAGCTAAACATTTATTGTAATTCTTTTCATGAACCAATCAAGATCCCCCTAAAATTTAACTTTTCTGATTCAACTGTTCCTAATTATTTGTCAGAGCAACTAGGGCATCCTACCTAAACCGAGATTCTCTATATGTGAGCAATTTCCGCTTCTAGCCAGTCAGAAGGAATAGACACTTTTAGGACACAGTCTATTTGACCTCTTTAGATGCCCAATTTATGAATCAATTTACCATTTTATCTTTTTTCCTGTTTGGGAATTATCTGTAAACAAGACAGTTTTCTCAAAATTTTTATTTGTGTTTATTTTCCAAGCAGCTGTAGCAAATAATTCTAGTTCTGTAGGTTACTTATGTTGTACTATCAGTTGTATTATTATTATTTTATTATATTAGCTCTTGCAAACATTTTTAAAGTTTACTTTTTTAGACTGGCCATATATGTTGCAGAGCCCCATTCTTCTGTTCTTTGTTTGGATTAATATGATCTTAGTAAAACTTGTACTATATTTGTAATCGTGAAATGTAAAATGGTTTCTGCAAACTTCTTGTCTAATATCAGCATAAAACTTCTATTTTTATTTTGGAGGACTACTTTTGTGTCAATAACCCTGTTTTCTAAAATACATATGGATGTAGCGTGAGGAGTATGCCTTGTGAATTAAGTTCCTTTTTTTTAAAATCTATACTTGCTGGCATAGTGACTGCTGAAACAGCTTGTGCGAGCCCATTGACCACAGGGCTCCAGTTAACATGGTATTGCACAAAGTTCCTACCCTTACGATTTTAATAAAGGTGATAGAGGTAGGGAAAAGGGGAATCATATGACTGGCATGGTAATACTTTTGTTTCTAATGTGATTTTATAGTATTTTTGCTTTTTTGACTGTATAACTCCTTAATAAGTTTATTTATGGCTGTTTTATGTTATCATGCATTATGTTCCAAACTAGAAAATATTCAGGAGGAGGAGGAGAAGGCAGTTGTTTGCTTTGCCCTGGCAACTGCACTCCAGGTCAGATAAACTCTCTGAGGGAAAAGAGGGGATTCTTCCTTCCCTGGGAGCAACAAAACAACCTTTTTCTGTTTGGGAGGGTGGGTCATGGAGAGAGGTAGCCACTGAGGTGAGGGCGCAACCCTACTCAAAAGACCAAAAAGCAAATGTGCAACCAGACCAGAGGTGACAGAAGAGAGATCTGTTTACAAACCCATTTCCATCCTTTGCATCGCCTGAGTGCTCTGGCTTTTCCTCATGTCAGAAAGTTTTCTGTTGTGGTTTATATTGTGAGAAAAACCAGCTCTACACTTCCAAAGCATTTGGGAGTCCTGGGGATCTCATTGAGAGAGATTCTCAGGCAGACCCGTGTTCTCAAACCACTCGCTGGTCTGACATGGGTAAAACCCATCTTACTTGTGACAAACCAGCAAGCGTCTTTATTATAGTTCTTAAAGTTCTTGCAAGATCTACTCTTTTCTGAGACATCACCCACAAACTGGAGAAAAATGAGCCCTAAAAGCTTAAAGTTAGATTGGGTCAAAGTCCTGAAATAACAAGATATTATTATAGAGGTTCCTACCATTCTTCAAATGAATGAAATAACTTGTAATGTGGACATCAATACCACTGGAAAAACATGCACTTTGCAGTAAAATTGTTGATATGCTATTATAATACTTATGGTTTGTTTAATAATGCTATGAATGTATTTCTCTACAGTTAGCTTGTCTGTTGTATAACTAATGTATTGCTGTGGTAATTGCTTTCTAGCTTGAGTCCTTTTTTCCTGACATGTAATCATAAGGTCTTCATGCAGATGTTCCTCACCAATGTTTCCTTCCTTTGATTCCTGGCTTTTTCTCCAAGCCTATACTTATAAAATCTTAATCTTCAGATGATAGCTGTAGAAAAGGGACTAGAGACTAGAGTGCAAGGGAACTTTGTGAACTTAGGCAGACATATTTTCAGGTCCTCAGTAGCCATGCCCTGTTACTCTTATGTAACATGGCTGTGGAACTGGACAAAACCAGGCTTCATTCTTGAGAAGATGACTAAGTTAAATTTTCTCCTTTCAGTAGGTAGAAGACATAATTTTCGAAGCTGACTTCATACCTCAGTTGTATGAAGTCAGACAGACAACTCTAGGAGTGAATTTTACTTAGGAAAATATGGTGCTCCTTATTAAAAATGAACCACTTCAATGTTGTATCTATTTACAGCTAAGATTAGGCTTTTTGTTCATATGGATTGTTTCTGTGTCTGTCTGTATTTGGCTGGATGATCTTTAGATTTCAGCCTTCTCAGAAATAAAATACGTACAATCTCTGATGGACTAATGAAACTGCAGTCATTGAGTACCGTCTTAAATGTTTACAGGCACATGTCAGTGTGGCAGGTGTAAATGTGCAAACTCAGAAGGAAATGGACTGGTCTATGGTAAATTTTGTGAATGTGATGACAGAGAATGCATAGATGATGAGACAGAAGAGATTTGTACAGGTATGTATTTTAATCAGTACAAGAAGAATGGTGAAGATTAATACAGGCTGTTATAAAATAATTTGATTGTGTGGACCTACAAAATGTCTTTACTGAATGTATGACTTAAAATAAAAGTAACTATATTTGCAAGAATTTAGCTTGCAAATTGTAAGTGGGAATTTCAGATGCAAAAATGAGCTAAGTGGGAGGTTAAAGAATGAAGAAATCCTGTGACATCCTCCTCTTTTTGGAAAAACTGCAAAGAGGATTATACAAGGTAATTCGCTAAGGTAATTCATAGCTTCGTGTGTCTGACTTTGGTAGAATATAAGAAATATGAATGCTTTGTGGCACGGATGAGAGCAAGATGGAGAACAGAAAAAAACAACAGAAAAAAAGAAAAATAGATGATTAAGAATTTTGTCAAGGAAGCAAAAATTAAAAAGAACAAGAATAAATGTAGGAGAGAACTCAGAAGCAATTCAAGAGGTAAAAAGGTAAAGGAATGAATGAAGAAAAATTTGATCTGTGATAGGAAAGGCAAGAGAGTAAGATGGAATGAACTCTGCTGATAGAAAAGCAACCAAAATTCAAACTGTGCTTTCATTTCACTATAAGATAGGAACCTGGCAATTGAATATTGTGCAATACACACCATTTATGGCATTATAAATTCTGTTGCCTATATTACTAGGGAGGCTTGTCCTTGAGCTGGAAGGTGCTACAAATATTGTTCAAGCTATACACATGCATACTGTCTGTATGCATACAGGAGGGTTCAGAACTGCTCTTAGACTATTCGTACTCTGATAACAGTGCTTGCTCTGTGTGTGTGAATAAAGAAAGGGAGTGCTTGTGTAAAACAGCTTTATCTGTCTTTATCCTTACACAGAGAACAAAATAAATTCTATTTATTTAAGTGCCTTTGAAGGCAAAAAGAACTTTTTTTTGCATAGGATTAAGTAGGGATTTTAAATGAGGGTAAACAGAATGGTCCTCTGAAGTCCAAATCCAGGAGTAAAGTACAATATTTCCAGTAATTGCCTAGAATAAGATGAGTGGAGGGCAATAATTTTTATGTGCCAATGATTCCATTTATATTTATTTGCTTGTAACCATTACATATGGTACCAAATATGATAAAAATTTACCATTTATTTAGTTTCTGTAAATTCTCCTTCTGCTGTTTTTGTCAGGTTTTTTTTCCCCACCTGTGTTGCTGCTGGTTTATATTATTAAGTTTTTCTTAGCTTTTATTTCCCCTTGTTTCATCCAATGGTGCCATATTCCAAAACAGACCAGATGCATCTCTGTAAAAAACTAGTTTTATGTGTATGCACAAATCAAAGTATGCTGATATAAAAGGACAAAAAAATGTCAGTAGATTCAAGTCTCCAAGGTCTGTGATTCATCAGTATAAAAGCCCTGATACCTTATGTAAGGTTTGGAGCCTTCTAAAATAAATATAAGGTATAAACTAATGGTGTGCTTGGCTCGGTTAGGTTGTTGCAAGCTGAAAAGTGTATGCGTGAAGGTTATGAGTGTTAGATTTTGCTTTGCTTTGTAACATACCTCTACAGTACATAACCATATGTTGAACCAGGCCTTATGCAGAAAAAATGGACAGCACCTGAACTGATGGTCAAAGGTACATACTTTCATCACAGAAAAAACAGACCCCACATGCCTATCTGGTTATTGCTTTTCTCTCCCATCCCAATGTCTCCTTTAATACCCTCTATGCGGTCTTTCCTTCCACAGGATTTCCACCACAGGAATCATTTAGGTTATTTATGAAGTAATAAAGAAACAGCGTTCCGACCCACTTCTGCTTAGCTAGCAACGGCCCCTGGATACTATCCACAGACAGGGTGAACCTAATCAGTGCTTGTTGTACTTTCACAGTTGTGTACCTAGTTGCTACACACCCTTTATTACCCTTGAAGGTATAGACAGGCCTTGAGGATTTTGTCTTCAAACAAAGCCAACTCAGGAGGATCAAACTAATGAAAAAACAAAAGCTTCTATTTACACACGTTTCTAAAGCCTGCAGCTGTGAGCTGGGATTTATCCTGGAAAAGCATACAATGCCATACTGAGATATGGATAACATTAATGCAAACGGGGACTGCATCTTTTAAGCAAAACAATTCTTAGGTAGGGCAGAGTTACAAAGATGTATCAAGCTCTTCCAGCCTCAGTTGGATTTTGATCAGTCAGTTGACTGCATCACTTTTTATTTAAGGTTACATAAACTTTGGAATCAAGTTGCAGCTTATTTTTAATAAAATATCATGGTTTCTAGCAAATTAAATTCTGATGCTGATCTTTTTTATCTAAGGCTTTTTTTCTCTAAAGGAGTGATTTTGTCTTCAGTCATGAGCAAGAGGTAGTGGCAAATTGTATCATTTAATACATATTTATTTGAGGACTATACAAGTGTGAGTAAAGAATGAAGTAGTGATGTTTTAATCTGCAAAAATTGTCAGTAGATCAAATTAATTACTACTTCACCATTTTCCCCTTTATTTCTCCTCCACTATTCAAGAACAACCTTTTGGTAATAAGCATTATTTTAGACTGTCTTTGTTGTTTAGTTATCTAAAAAGGTGGTATTTTTATCTTCTGTTATTTTTGACATGTAACCAAACAATTGTAATGAAAATTTCATGTGTAATTTTAAAAACAGGAAAAAAATGTATTCCGCAGTTCTAAATTTGCACTCTTGATAGTTAAGGATATAAGTTGACCAGACTGTGATAGAGACGACCACGTCTACTAAACAGAACATACCTAGAAGGAAAAAAAGGACAAGATCCTGACTTGATCCTTCTAGTAAAGAATTAACTTATGGCTTTAAGAGTAGTAAGAGTTGCAGCTACTTAATTTAAATGCTTTGTGTCATTGAAGCACATGGCAGAAGTACCTTAGTGGATCAAAATGTTGAGGAGCTGGTTTCATCAAGCCTCAGATGACCCAACTATCTTTTTGGGAGATGTATGGTTTGTTATATGAACATCTAAAATGTTCATTTTACTAATTCTTATCTTTCATGAACTGGTTTATCCGTGTTCAAAAATCTTCTTAACAGGTAAGAAGGGAAGCCATATACAATGTAGACAGTTTGTAGTAAATTAAGGTCCCTCTGCTGAAATTATCTGAGGAGTCAAGAACACACAATGCTTTCTTAGACATGCCAGGTACGGTGGGCAAGTGTGTCCTATCTTAACATTTAAAGCTGTGCTTAAATTTTAACTATTACATTTATTGTCTTCCAAATTTACCTATAAAGTTTCAAAAATTAAGCTTACAAATATAAAAATATTGATGTTATTTTCTTAGTGTTTATTGATTAGATTAAATCTGTGATTAAATAAAAACATGTTCTAAAATAGACTTGGGGAAAAGTATAATTCAGACATCCTCTGTACTATTTTATGTAGGCATATATGGTCTATAAATTGTTTCTATTCTGAGTCTATCACTAAAAGTTTTTAAAAGAAAAGATCGAAACAGTTAAATTGTTAATGCCTTTTAAAAACTTGCCTCTTTCTCACTGTATAAAATTTGTTTTGGGTTAAGGCCATGGAAAGTGTTACTGTGGAAACTGTTACTGTGAGGCTGGTTGGCATGGAGATAAATGTGAATTCCAGTGTGACATCACCCCCTGGGAGATCAAGAAAAGATGCACATCTCCAGATGGCAAAATCTGCAGCAACAGAGGTGTGTCATTCACACGTTCCTTCTACGCATATTTATATAGATTGCTTTTATTTTACAATATGCATTTTCTGCAGTAGGACATAGATTGTGTTTGCTGATAGTTTCTAGTTTGTTTTCACTTATTTCAAATCTGGATATATGTTTCCAAGTGGATAGATACCTGTGTTTAGGTATAAACTTACAAATCCACACCCATTTTTTTGACCCAAGTTGTTCTCATCCTTCATTTTTGTTGTAAGACTGAGCAGGATAATTTGTTAGTATATCTGCTTTGGTGAGAGACAAAGCAAAATATCCTGCAAAATAAAATATTAGCAGATTTTTCACTTTGAACGGATTGGTGCTGTAAGGCCAACGGGACTGTATGTCAATTCACTCTTAAAGAAGACCAAGGACCCACAATTGAATAGGGAAAATGAAAACACAAAGCTTTTAGTTTCCACTGCAACCTGAAAAAATAACTAAGTAGTGTTCAGTAACAATGCTGTGGAATGCATACAGAGCTGGAAAGGTAGACTTCACACAATATTTCTAACTATATGAATTATTTGCACAAAGTTCAGGAATTTGAATTTTACCTTATGCTTCTGTCTAATTTTGCCATTTTGGAAAAAAAAAATAAAAAGCAAAAATAAGGTTGCTTTTCAGTAGCTGCTGTGTTTGGCTTCATTGAACAAAGAGTTAAAAAACCATGGGTTTTTTTTGGCAATAGTCCAGAAAAATTACAGTAGAACATAAGCTCAAGTCACATAGATGATACCTCTCTTAAAAACCTCTCTACTGACAAAAAACATGCTATAGTGTGAACATCTAATTATCCTGAGAGCATTTAGAAAACTCTCTTCTCTTAATTATGAGGAAATTGAAAGATTGGCTCAAATACAGAGATCATGTAGGCTCATTTAGTCTTAGACTCTAGCAGTAAAAAATTTTTTGTAATTCTGGAAATAATAAATATTGAAATGGCTTTAGATCAGATGCTTTGCTTGCACCAAGAAAGTAATTTCTTGTCAAAGCAATTTTTTGTTCAAATTTGAAATTTTAATGTGCAAGTATTTCTTTAAATTTACATTATAACTTGGGAAATGAGGATAAATAGTATAGCTGATATTCTGAATAGCTACAAACTCCTATACAAAGGTACGTTCATGGGATATTTCTATATTTTTAGCCTTTCACGTATTCGTGATTTTATCCACATAAAATTTTTCTAGGCTTTTGACTACATAAAGTTGCTTTCCAACACAGTATTTCTACTCTTTTTAGTCCTATTTACCCAGCTTTCTGTTTTTATAAATCTTGTGATATAGGTGCAGTTCATCTTGTCAGTCTTGCGCCTTCTAAAAATGAAATATTGAGGCTAACCTTGCTGTCCAGCCTCCTTCAGTGCTAAGATGGATAAATTGTCTGTATCTTTCCATCAACTGTCTAGTCAACCAGTTGAGATCAGAAGTGAACCTTTAGATTTTTTAAACTTTGGTGAGATGGTGTTTTGCATTCCGATATCCAGGATAGCTGATCCAAATTCACTTTGAAGTTGTTTCTGGGAGGCTTAATCACTCTCCAGAGGCATTTCCTCGATTTCTGGGTTTTTTTGTTTCTTTGTTGTTGGTGGTTTTTTTCCTTCTCCTTCAGTAATGTCACTGAATTGTGAAAGTATCAAAAATCAGGTGCAAATTTCTTGAGGGCTGTCTCGGTGGCTTTAGCACTAAACAGGGCAGCAGCTCTTCCTGCTTCATGTAACTGTCATGCATGCACGATTGTGTAGACCTTCTCTTTTTAGAGAACGTGCCCATATCTATATGTAGTCTTTAGTCACCCTGTCCTGTTGTCCTCAAATGCATTATAGTGTTCAGAGTAATCTGATTAAGAAGACAAAGGCTTTGGTAGAGTAGCAGAAGGTAAAACTACTCTCCAGAAAATGAACTGTATGCATCTGTAAGGTTAGGCTGCTTCTTTGTGCCTGTTGGCATCTCAGAAAAAGTGGTGAGTGTATAGCCCTGAAGCATATTTGGATTTCTGAATAAGGAAACTGCCTTTTTTTGTTCTGACTTTTCCTAAGTAAGTAGGATGTGTGTTCTGTGTATGTCAGTACGGTTGTGCCAAATTAGTATCTGTCATATTACACATTTCCCTTCTTATTGTAAACAATAGGGTTTGGCCCTGAGTATTGACTTGGGAAAAGTGGAAAAGTGTCATTTTCATGTAGATCTATGCTGATGTTCTTCTTAGATAAAGAATGACCTCCTAGACATTTTCAGTTGGATTAGAATTTGGATTTCCTTCTAGTTTAAATGTTTATGCTTTAACAATCATTAATTATCCACTGTGCCCAAGCCTAAGTCATTTAAACAGCATTGATTTTTATTGTCATTAGTGTCAGGGCAAATTACTGTTGATGTCAAAGATTTACGACTGTTCTGTGCACTACATTTTTCTGTTGTTTTCTAACAAGGCTCAACAGCAAAAAGAAACTTGAACAGGACGCCAACTTGTTTGTATAAAGTATTACTACTAAGTAATCATAGAAGGTTTTAAATCATAGAAGACAAGCATACACTCATGATTAACACTTGGAGCTTTGAAACTGCACTCATGTGAGAGCAGAAAATTTACAAGTGTAAATTCCTGTAATCAAACTACTGTTAATCTAAATTGCTCAGTTAATCTTCTATCTCTGTGTCTCTTTATTTTTTTCTCTTTCCTAGGCACATGTGTATGTGGGGAATGCACATGCCATGATGTGGACCCAACTGGTGACTGGGGAGATATTCATGGAGATACTTGTGAGTGTGATGAAAGAAACTGCAAAGCAGTGTATGATAGATATTCTGATGACTTCTGTTCAGGTGAGGAATATATATAAAAGGAACTTACGTGTAGTTTTATGTCAAAAGCATCCAACTGGTCTGATCTCACTCTTCCTTAGTGCTCCAGTTCTCATTTTCCTAGCTTAAAATATACCAAGCTTTAGTTGTTTTTCTGGGGGGAGTGGACTTTTTAAATTAAAAGACATAATTCTTTAAAAAAAGAAAAAAATGTTTCCAGTTCTAAAGCTTTCTTAAAACATGTCTTTTTTTCTATGCCTTTTAACAAAATTCTGTAAATATGAAATACTTTTAGGTGCCCATCTCCCTTCTAATACTTTTGTCTTCAGTGTAACCTAACATAAATTGGAGAATGGTTGAAACTTTAAAAAAAAAAAAAAATCCTTCCTTGGAGAAATTTAAATTTGAAAATTTGTTAGGTCAGATTTTGTTATTTATTTTATGTTATATGGCAGGGAGAGGACAAGCAAGAAGAAGAAATTAGAGGAAAACTGAATTAATGAGCTAATGAAAAACAATACCCTGAGAATACGAACTGACCTGAGAACAAGTAGAGCATCAATATGTGGAAAATATGAATGTGTGGTCCAGCTACACATCACTGACTGTACATCTTAGACACTTCCACCTTCCTTTTTTTTTCTACTTGTATTTCAGAGCATTATATTCAAAGTAGTTAATGTCCATCCAAGGTTTGCAGTGTATTTAGATTGATGTTCCATGTATCAACTAACAAAAGCTGAGATTCTGAGTGAGACCTTGCGTACAATTTTGTATAGTTATTGATAAAGATGCTAATACCAGGTAGGAGAGAAGGACTTTGATCAATACACAGCATGCAATTTGTAGACACAGGAACTTTGCAAAAACAAATGAGGGTAGTTTCAAAGGGACTTCATAGATTACAGGTTGTCAGCTCTAATGCGTCCTGTAGAAATCTGATTTGGCCTAACTAGGAAGAATGCAGTCACACCAATGAAAATAATGATGTGGTATATTCTTCTCCTATTACTAGAATGAGAGATCCGTCATAGAAAGTTCATGAGAGTTGTCTGTAATAGGGAGAGAAGGCTGAAACAACATGATACATAAAATTCTTAGCCTCTTCTTTGCCTGTTATAAAAGTGAAAGGTTTCTCAACTGGTGTGGTTTTTTTTAATAAATATTGATGGATCACTAGCTAATAAAATAAGAAAAAGAAAAAGAAGGAAACATTTCTGAAAACCTTCAGTGAATTAATTTGCTTGTTAACATTTCAGCCACCTACAAATGCTATATTAGTAAGCTGGAAGGATGTAGAACTGCAGTCATGAGAGCAGCAGGAGGATTGACTTTGGGATGTTGTCAATTTTTGAATGTATTACTGCGTTGCTGAGTATGTTTTTAGCACTCAGGGATTGATCAAAATGTCAGCATCAGCTAAGGAATACAAAGCTAAAAACCAACTTGGTAAATGTGTTCTGTAGTTAAGGGTGAACACAAGAGTTTCAAACCTAATTAGATTAAAGCAAACCTGTGGCATCTACAGCTAATGCTGCATCACTGAAACAGGGCTTGAACTCCCTCTTTCCAGGACATTATTGCCATTGCTGCTGCTGCTGCTGCCCAGGGTGGTAAAGGTTGTAAGAAAGCAGAATGTAAGAAAGTATGGATAGTTACAAAGGAGTTGGGGGGAAGATATTGCCATTTGACATTGGATTAAGGACTGATACGGTGTTCTTTATTACACAGACATAACTGTAAATGAACAAACCTTACGAGAGGTACCAAAGGAGGTACTCATATGGCTTGCTTGATGTAACTAAAACTTATGTTGAAGTATAGCTTAGTTTTTCTATCATCTAATCAGCAAAAAATTTAGTACTGCTTATTCTTATGTTTTAGAAAGGCCTAATTTAGCCTTAGCTGGCCATCCAAGTATGCATTCCTCAAATAGATTGTGCAGAACTCTCCATTTTCACGTGAAGCAGTGTGAACAGTGTCTTATAGTCCTGCTGTTTAGACCTGTTTCAGAAATGGACAAGATGCATAAGTATTAATTTTGGTTTATTGTGGTAGACAGACAGAATCCGCAATTAAATCGAAGATTTACTAGCAGAATAGTAATTGGACAGCTTTTTTATTTGTTTATCTGAATCAAATTTACTTAGTGCACAAAGTGTGCACGCATTAGGTGTGTCTGCAAAATATCTTCATTTTTCTCACAATTATTTGTAAATTGATTTAGGATTAATCCAAGAGGGATTAGTCACATTAGGGAAAATAATCCAGCTTTTTAAAATCTACATCAAATGGAGCTGATACAAAAATTTTCCTGTCTTCTTCTGCCTACCTGATAGGTAGAGACAGGAAATCACATTGTCCTGAGTAGCAGACTGAAATGATACAAAATCATGTTTACATGTAAAGAGTTTTATTGTAACTGAATGAAATGCTATGTTTATTTCATAAACTACAAATGACGGGAATTGACAGCTCTGCTGTGAGGATTTAACATCACACAACAGCAGCTCCCTCCAGAAGCTTCATATGGCTTGGGGTGACTGTCAATTTGCAGTACCTCGTACTGGCAACCGGATGCCTTCTTTTAACATCTCAAGGGCTGTTCAGTATGTTACTGAATGATTTTCTTTCAGAAGTGTTCACAATGTTAATGTGATTCTCTTCCTTTAAAGAGAGAATAGCTTTCATGACTTGATATAGAAATAAAAAAGACTTCCATAAGAAATTCCTACAGTCACACATCTCATTAGTTTCTTTGCTGTGGCTCTAGCAAAGAAAATATTATATGAAATAAAATCATCCTCTCATAAGTATCTATCTGGATCAGGGAACATATGTCCAATTCGCAACCTGTCAGCAGGTACACATGAAAGCAAGGGACAGAATCATAGAATCATAGAATGGTTTAGGTTGGAAGGAGCCTTGAAGATCATCTAGTTCCAACCGCCCTGCCATAGGCAGGGCTACCTTCCACTAGATCAGGTTGCTCAAAACTCTGTCCAACCTGGCCTTGAGCACTTCCAATGATGGGGCATCCACAACTTCCCTGGGCAACCTGTTCCAGTGTCTCACCCCCCTCACAGTAAAGCAGCTATTCTAAATCTACCCTCTAAACAAGAGAAAGCCTGTAACACTTTTCAAGGAAAACAAATAACTAATGTAAAGAAAGTTATTCTTGTGAAATTAGTAAGACTGTATTCTGGGAACTACTCTGATAACTCGTAGAATGCTTGCTTCCTCCCATTTTCTCCTTGTGAACTGATAAATACATATGTTTTAGAAATGTAATATAAGCCAGTCTTAAAATGCAAGTATGGTTAGAAAGAGATATAAAATCTGTGTTGCTGTGGTTTTCAAGAAGGACCTGGATAGACAAGTGGATATCAGAATAATGCTTTGAGGTCCCGTGTCCAGTGAATGATGACTATGGGAAAATTGTGAGAAAAGATCTAACCTGCTGTCAGAGCTCATGAAAAGAAATACTTGATTTTGTGGCAAGGAATGTTTTTGCTGATGCTCAAGATTTCCTCATCCAGTGCAAAGAACATTTTGTATTGCCAGAATCTCACTGCTTTATGCAAAGAGCGTTAGGCTCATGGTGAAGGGAGCTGGGCGATTAGCTTGTTTTTTCTTTGTCTGGATATGTTAGCATTCATATAGAGGAAATAGATTGGCTGTTACATTTTTTTAAAGAAACTTTCCAGAAAAGCTTCTGTGGAGTTCAGTTGCTTTTCCTCACCTCAACTTGCACAGTGAAAGTTGCATTTATGTTACTACGTTCTGACATGGTCAGAAAGAGTCAAGTTAGCTAATGAGATACCAAAACCACATCCAACTGCCCTATTAAAATGAGAATTGATTATGCCCAGTATTTTATTATTTGCACATCACTATTTAGTAGAAGGCACTGGTTTGAGACTTGGAATTGGTGTGACATTGCTTGTCTCTAGTGGATCACATTGATTGCAAGTAGATAAAAGATGGTATTGATATATTACTGAGAGAATATGGTGCAACTGTAGTAGAAAAAGAAGAACATAAAGGTAAATGAAATAATGCCTTATGAAGGCCCCACTTTTCCAAACAGTGGTGAAATGTGTATTTGTAACCTCTATTCCACCCTTTCACATGAGAGGCATGTGCCAAGTGGCAAAACATCCCTTAAGAAAAAAAATTAAAGGGAAATATGGCTCAAATGGAATAACAGACCAGTGCTATTTTCGGAAAAAGTAGATATAGTGAATTAATTGTATTTTTTGCCAGTCTGATTATTTAATGAAACCACAACTTTGAAAAAGTTCATCTAATCATGAGGTTTTAATACCTATCATCAGTATGGAGACTAATCTTTAATCGTATTCATTGTAAAGGTCATGGACAGTGTAATTGTGGAAGGTGTGACTGTAAAGAAGGATGGACTGGGAAGAAGTGTGAACATCCACTTTCTTGTCCATTGTCAGTTGAGGAAAGTGCTAAGAAATGCCAAGGAAATTCTAATTTACCTTGCTCTGGAAGAGGTAAGCACATTTCTGGGAGAATTTTCATGCCCTTAAAATGTACTTCCATTAAAAGAATTTTTACAGATGTCCAGAATTACTAGTACTGAAAAATGTGAACTTTCTTGGCTTACTGTGCATGAACCACACCTGCATAACTTGTGAGTTATGAGAAGGGAGGAGAAGAATACAAAGGTCACCTATTTTTTCTGTCATCTACTGCTTTGTATTTTATTTTACATATCTCAACATTTGTTTTGGAGGTTTTCAAGGATGCTTTGAAGATTGCTGCAGTTAAGTCTTTACTAAAGATACATTAAAAATGTGAACCTATTCTATGCATTCTTTGACAAAACCAGCATGAGATTTTCAGCCTCTGTAAAATGTTGTGGCACCATTGTGATAAGAGCTATTCAGATTTACACTGCCTAAGAACCTGCCCTACTGAGTGCGGAACTGACTTCTAAAATGCAGTTGTTCTTCAGTGCAGTTTGCTAGTTAGCCACTGGCTTTTAATTTGAAAACATTTCTTTGTGACACTGTAACCTTTTCAAAAGCTTTGACTAAAAAAATACACTGTCATACATCCAATTGAAATACACATTGCAAGCAAAAGGAAACTTTTCTCAGAAGGAAAAGGACCTGCTAATTTTCATCTGTCACTGTGTGAAATGTGGTTTTCTACAGAGAGAAGAGAGAAAAGTATATATGAGACATACTTTTGCTAGAACGGGTAATTGAAGTTGTTATGAATTCTGCCCACTTAAGTATTTGCTGGCAAAGGTCTAAAGCTACTCTTGAATTATTGCATTTGACCCTAAATGTCATTTCATTTGCAATTTCTTCTTTCACTAATGCTACGTAACATAGTCAAAAATTGTAGGCTGTCCACCCAAGTTAGCACTGTGATAATTGTATTTTTCTCTCTGTAAATGTGTAGCAGCTCATAACTTAATAAACGCAGCATTAGCTGTATCTTAAAAGAACTTTGTATTAACAGATTGTTGCTTGTTATTTTCTTAATTAAGCTACAGTTTTCCACTGAATTACATCTCTCTTTTCTTGCTAAAAATTCTCAAAGGAATTTTTGTCTACAAGTTAGGTGAAATATGGGCATCTGTGGAGAATTAACTGCATTTTATTGTTCATGATTACAAGAATTATAACTAAAAGAAAGGAGTGTTGACATTTGGTTTTTTTTTTTTTTTTTAAATACTGGTTCACTTTTTTCCTGTTCTCATTGGATGCTGAATGTCTCTTCTCTCATGTGCTTCTTTAGGAGTTGTGTATGTTGAGCATCTGGAGTCAGTTCTATGATTTAATTGCGTTGTGCACTATAAGAGTCAAATGACAGAGAAAAGAATGACAGTCATAAAAACAAGTTTAATTTGAATAAAAATACAGTCTTAAGTTATGGAACATGTTGTTCTATTTATATTTTAAATTTTGAAAAGTTTTATTAGGTATAGTGAGAAGAGTGAGTTTAAAGATTTCAATATTAATGGCAATAATTCTATCCTCTTGACTTTCTGAAAAAAACACGTGAGTATTAATGCTGGCAGTGTTCTTCTGTTGAGACACTAGCAGTGAAATAAGTCCCTTTCAGGTGAATTCGTTTGTCTGAATCATGTGTTGGTCAAAATTTTCAAATAAAGTACAAGCAGTATCTATTGGAACAAAAGGCTTAATTGACAGTGGCTTTCACTGAACTTCCTTTGACTTCCAAACAAGAAGAGATCACCAAGGTTTATGACAAGTGGCATAGACATGGATCTAGGACATAGTATGATAGACAGCTGCTGTAAAGAAGGAACAAAAGATTCTGCATTCCACGCTTGAAAAAAAATTCCGATGAATACAGTCATTTTAAAATGGAATGTGGTATCTTGTTTTAGTTCTATGAACAATTTTGTTTAGGAAATTGGGAGAGAAAAAGAGAAAAGATACTTTAGTCTATTCCTCTGTAATTTACTGGATAGTGTATTTTTTTACCCTGGACTCCCTGGATTTCCCTTTCTTCCATCATATTTTGGATATAATAAAAAATGTGAGAAAGTTCCTGTACTGCTGAAATGATGTAGGTGTTTAGTTCCTATGAAAAACTGCCATTGGACTTGCCCAGTTAAATTCTTTGGTCCCATTTGAAAATCCTACTTGCCATTATAGCCTGTCACAGGCAGAAGTGTTACACAAGCAAATGAAACAAAATGAAGATTTCCAATCAAATGCAACCTCTTTCAAGTCTGGGGTGGGAAAGGCCATGGACTTGTAACACCACCCCCAATTTTTCTGAAGTTCATAGGGAGGATTGTGTGACAAGGAAGAAAACATTCCAAAGGAAACGGAAGTGTTGTTATCTTTTCCAATTGAACATTATTGTTTTGGTAGCCTCCTTGTAATATTTTTCTCTGGCTATGGTACAAGAATAGTAAGTCCTTGTACAGCTCAGTAATCCACTGCACTGCTGGAGAAGTTGAGCACTTAATGTCCTTATTTAATGGGATCTTTTAGTAAGGCAGTTCATGTATGGAATAGGATGCAGAAAGGAGAGCCCAGAGGTGCAGGTGCATGAATTTATGACTTTGCCATGTATTGTGTTTCCTTGAAGAATGTTTTCTATTCATCTGTACCTTTTGGTTCTAGGTTACTCAACAACAGTTGTGACAGCTAACGCCCTCCTTTGCAATCAATAAAGACATTGAAGGACAAAGCATTTTTAGGATTTTTAGTGCCATATAGCATTGATAGCCAAAACGTGTAGGTAGAAAAAGATAGAACTGTTACAATTCATAGTCTCTTTCTATAGTCTCTGTCTAAAAGCTGACATACACTCAGATTTTCAGGTGGAGGAGTTTGAAACTTCAGTTGTGATACTCTGTTCCCAAGATTAACAAAAATTATATTTCCTAGATGGTATTTTCTTCTTGAAATATTAAGTGTGATTTCAAAATGTAATAATCCTCCACCTAAACAGTAGTAAAAAAAATGCATGCTACCTGAGGAAGCATTGAAGAAATAGTCAAAGCTTTGGCTGGCCATTTTCAGGTTTTTTGTGCATTTTGCAAAACTTTCTGATACAGAAGACTATAAAACTCCCAATGATTCAGCTTCAGTCTTTAAAATCTCCAGTAATAATTACAGAAGGTGAACCAGAAAAAAAAAAAAAAAGGAAAAAAACAAACCCCAAAGCAAGCCACCAAATCCTCTAAATTCCTCATTAAAAAAAGTTTTGGGATTTGTATATTTTTGTGTCAGAGATTTGGGATGGTGCGGGCTTACATTAAAAAAAAAAATCCTTTGTTTCACTTCACAAAACTTTATAATATTAGCACAAAAATCATGGCAAAATGATACTCTTCAAGAATTTTCAATCAGTCTGAGGGACCAAAAGCTTCCATCTTTGAACTTAATTTTGGTAAGGTGCCTAATTTGTACCTTATACTTTGTTTTTACAGGTAATAATGAATGGAAAAGAGAATGTTAGCCTAATCTTACCTTTTTTTTATGATTCAATAACCCAATATGTTTGTAATATTAAGTTTTCATATGAAATATCTGGGTTTTATATAAATGTACCCAAATTTTTATAAGTTACCATTAATGCAAATTATATTCCTACATAGGCAAAAATAGAGAAAGCATCAGCAGTGCAAACTAAAAGAGAATTGTTATATGCCACCAAGATTTTGAGATCCCAGTTTCCCTTAAGTATAAGTCATGTAACCTCAGCAAGAGAAAGGGTTTTTTTTAAGTGTTTAATATATCAGGGGTACATAAAAGTTGTATTAAAAATTTTAGAGAATTAAAAGGAAGTTGTAAAGAACACAACCTAATTAGATAATTACTATCTATAAAATGCTATGGATTACAGTTTCTCAATCTGCATTTTGCTCTCCTGAGAGCAGATGAAGCAGTGAACTTTTATTCTAGACTGTAATTCCCTTCCTGATTTTCCCCAGTCACTCACAGAAATAACAAGCTGTTTCATGGGTGCTGGTCAGCATGTGGGGAGAACAGAGATGTTGCCAAAAATATATTTCACCATGGTCTTATATTTCTTAGCTGCTTCAATAGGTGAAGGAGAGAGAAGGCTTTATATTGACATGCTGAGTAGCAAGTGAGAATGTCTACATTCTAAAATGATGTTATAAAGGCAGAGGAAATATAAATCCTCTCAGTTACATCAATCAGGCATCTTTACCTTCAGTAGTTCCTGTTATATATAATGGGAGGGAAGGATCAGATGAAAATTTTGGGAATTCAAATACGCTATCGCTAGGTTCTTTCCAAAAATTACTTCCCCTACAAAAGCATGTTGAGGATGAGGAGAGATTCTAGCCAGCTTCATTCTCATATTCCTGAGAGTGTTTTTTTTTTTCTCTTGCTGCATGACTTTTCACTATAAAAAGTGAAAAGTGAAAGTCAGTCCCTTTTAAGAACACTGTACAGCAAGACCAGTGTCAGAGATAAAGGAAAAGACACACCAAAATATCCTTATAGTAAGAAATAAAGAGATAGCATATTGTTGTCAGGATTAAGGGACAAGACAAACCACTTTTCTCTTTAAAATGCACATCACTCAGCTGAGTTTCCCCTTAGGGCAAAAAGCAGATTTCAAAATAGTTATAACAAAAAAATCTTCAGGAAGAGAACTGAAAATAAAAAGAGTAGGTTTTGAGAATAATAGATGAGAGCTTTTTTTTTTAAATAATCTTGTTCTCATCACTTACTCTTAGTGAAGGCAGCCATCCCATGGCAGTGATCCAAAGACAGATAAATGACAAATCTTCTTATTGGCAGTGTCTTTTACCATTTTAATATCTTTTCTATAATTGCTTTTATTTTTTTGTCATATGGAGAGAATTAAACTGTTTCTTTATCTGTGAAATTCTCCCTTGCACTTGTGCTCTAGCATTGGCTATCTGAAATATGAAGAGTTTTTTTGATTCTGTACTGAAAAAGATTTTTGTTGTTTTTGCAAACTCTCCAAAGTCCCGTTTGCAAAATATTAAATTCTTGAG